GAAGGTATCCTGGCGCGCATAAACACAAGGTACGCCGATACTCGGCAATTGCGAGTCCGAACGAGCGACGTCGAATCGAATTTTTATGCGCGTTTACTCGTGATTATGTCTAATCCTCGATACAGGAGATAATCGAGGTCATCGACCGCTTTACTGACAACGATTTCACGAGGCACAGTCGAAAGCTTCCTTTTGGTGTTAAGCGAATGATTCCATGACTAGGAGATCCGTAAAATTTGACCGGGTAAATTTTTGGCTGCGAAAGAGTTAAACGGCGATAAGTCCAAGATTCGACGATGGAGCATCGTAGGGCGAAGATCGCGACCAAACAAGGTTGGCGAAAAGAGAAAGCAAGAGGGCGAAAGGAGGGCGAGAGAGAGAGAGAGAGTCGGTCCCGACAGTTTATCGGGTATGCATCAACGAGCCACGTTTGCAATATTATCGTCGCTCGCGTGACGCTCCCGGTTTTCGAAGGCGGCTGCTCGTTGCCTAGGGTCTCGAGATGGGGGTCGTGGTAACGGATGAGCGGGAGGGGGTAAGGGGTAGAGTATATCGGGTGGATAGTCGAGGGTGCGAGGGGCCGGGCGGGGCGACGGTCGACGCGGAGCGCGGGCGGGGAGACAGGCTATGGCAGGGAGTCGGTGGTGGGGGAAGAGTCGAGTGGTGGGGGAAAGGATCGGACGAAGCTCGACGAGCACCAGTAGACGGCAGCACTGCGGGCCGCGCGTCGAGAAACGAGCTTGCTTATCGAGTGCCGTGCGTCGAGGAACAGAGAAGGGTGCAAAAGCGAACGAGCTCGGGAAAAGGAGAGAGAGAGAAAGAGAGAGGGAGCCGAGGCGGAGGAAGAAGGTGATTTTGTGTAAAACCGGAGCTGGACCACGAAAGGATCGACGATTCGCGATGCGGCGATCGCGGCCGTTCGCTCCGAAGTTCGCTGCGCGTCGCTTCCGCGCGAACATAGTCGACGGTTTGTTCTCGAAATTAACCGGTTCGTTTGACGGTGTTGGGCGGGGACCGAGGCGTTAAAGCCTCGGCTTTTGCTCGAGCGTCTCCGTTCGACTCGACTCGCCGGTTCTCTTTCGCGCGTTTTTTTTCGATTTCGCGTCGAAGCCGTGCAGCGAGCCAGCCATATTTGACGCGTGCGATCTCGCCGGAGCGAAGTAAGTCGGAGGTCGATCGACTCGCGTCCGCCGTGTGCTCTCGAATCGCGATTCGACGTTTTTCGGAGCGTTTATCGATACGCGCGTGAAAGAAATTGTGATTCGCGCGATGGATACGAGTCGCGAGTGAAATGCCCTTCGAATTGGCAACCTTCCCGAACGCAGTGCTCCCGAAAACGCGCCGCGTTCCCGACCGAGCGTGTCCGAGACAAATTATCCGCCACGATATCGTTCGCGGATAGTCGATCGTTTCTTCCGGCCGAATCACGGCGAGTATCGAGGGTGTCGCGACCGCGATCGTCGCGAGAATCGTTCGATCGATGGGGTCCTCTTCGAGAGAGGTCAGTGGACAACGAAGATGATTGTTGCAGTGAAGGAGTGAAGGGAGATCGTCTCAGGAAGATAATAAAATCCGACGGATTTCGTTAACCGTGAGAGTAATCGTGGAAGACATCTGTTCGTATCGGTTTCTCGTGGCGCGAATATTAATTTAAGCCGGTGCTCGGCAAATGGTTGTGTGCTGTGTCAAGTAAGTGAAAGTCAAGCGCGACGGACCGCCATATTTTTCATGGATAAACGTGCACCACGGTGACCGGCTCGAACTGGTTTCGATCCCACCAGCTCCAGCGCCACGAGACGTAAGTGTTTCATCGTTCCACTCGTTTCAAAGATTCCACTCTGATTGCCACCTCCGCCTATAATGGCGGATTTAACGCGATTACCTCGTAGACTCGATCGGAAAACGTTCTTTTCGACCTCGCTCGCTTTTTTCCCCTCGATATTTTTCGTTCGCCGCGTAATTATCGCGCGATAGTTATCTGCTCGGCGTCAATTACCGCACCGGTATTAAAATACGCTTCGTTCGGTCACGATGCCTCGTTAGGAATCGTACGCGATCGCCTCGGGTTTCTCGAACAATGGGAAGGCTTAATTACCCGCTCGTCTATTTACCGAAGTAAAAAATCCAGCCAGACGTAACTCGCGTTGGCGGCTTTGAACTTTGAGAAATTCTTCGACTCGATCGATCGAATGACCTCGATTCGTTCGATCGCATCCGTTACTCGATATTAAAACGTTCCTTAAACACGATTTCACCGCCGTTTTACGTAAACGATTATTTCATTCCGATCGAAAACCTTCGACGACGTTCCTCGGCAGAAAAACCGCTTTTAAAAGGTGCTCGAGTAGAGTTTACCCGGATAAATATGCAAAAGCTGCTATAACTCGAGAGAACCGGTGTTCGTACCGCTTCCGCGTTCGAGATAACGTTGCTAGAATTCCTCGCGTGGAACAAAGAAAAAACGCGTATGATTTATTTAACGTTAATTACTCGTTGGAAAAATATACGAAAACGAACGTCGTTAAAATACGCGTTGACCTCGATCGAAGAAACACGAATCGTAAGAAAAGGATCCCTAAGTTGAAAAGTTGTTTCTCGGGATTCTGGGCCAGTGTGCGTGGCGTTGAAACTTCGCAGTCATAGCATGAATCCATTATACACGCGTGATAGGAAGGAGAGCGAAACGGAGCGAGCGAAAGAGGAGGAAAGAGGAAACGCGAACTCGTCGGAGAAGGGAGCTCGAGCGAGACGGAGCGATAGGGTATAGAACGGAAGGAGCAAAAGGGTGGATGGGTTAGGTGGGTGGGTGCATGGGTGCGCAACGAATAAGCGAGAAAGACGGAGGGAAGAGAAAGAGAAGGACGAATGGTAGGGAAAATGAATTCTCGTTGGCAGTCAGATAACCCGGGTACGATCGATCGGAATATCTGCCGGTCTGTTGGCGTTACACGCTCCGCTTACATAGAAACGCCGCTTATATATAGAACATCGGCCATGTGCCACTCGGGCATACGTATGTATGTACATACGTATGTACGGATGTGTACATAAACGCGTCTGCGACTCTTTGCGAACGACGGGAACGCATGTACTATGCATGAATGCGTATACGGGGTGGCTCGATTTAGCCACTACCTTTTTTCTTCTTTTTCCAAGGAAGCACGGAAACGAAACTTTTACCTCTTTGCTGAATTATTTTTTCCCTCTCGAGTTCTTTCCCCGTTCACTCAATTTTCTAATTCGGAATATGCAAAACTTCCGACCTGACGCGTATACTCGATAATAGAGGCACGCGAGGATACGTCGCGTGACAAATCGCGAGGATAGAAATGGACAGAGCGTAAATTAAACAGCAGTTTATTATTCAAAAGCTTAACTCGAAACAACCGGAATTCTCCGGAGAATAGGTTCGAACGCGTTAACGAGCGTGAATAAACGCGCCGTTATCGGTCGTCGCTTATCGCTCGTCAAGGTATGTACAGACGGATCCCTCTTGACTGTCAATACCTCGCCGAGATACTTGACTTGTATGCGAGTCAAGTATGCGCATAGATAAAACGAGTCACGTCGACCGTTGTCGCGTATCAGAAGCGCTAACGATACGCCAGTTACGCGAATTCGTTCGAATGCCTTGAATACAATTGTTTTTCCTGCATATTTCGGCGCTACTATCCTACTATCAAACCTAGATCCTACTATGGAAGTTTACTTCTAGCGAATTATCAATTCTCGCTTATGCACCGACGATAAAGCGATTAGATTCGAGTGGAAGAAAAAGGGAGAAACGCGTGGGTAAGGCTGCAAGATATTCGCCAAGGTTTCTGGCCAGGGTAAAATGGCGAAGATACACGGGTGGCGGGGTGCGGGGGTCTCGTGCATGGGTGGACCAGTTCATAGGCAGGAAAGAGCAACCGGTATCCGAGGAGAACCGGTATACCGGTTTGCCGCAAAGGTAGGTGGTAAAAATCGCTGAACAAGCGAGTTGGCCAACTTTACCACCCTTCGTGCTCGCTATCGATCAAAAGTTTGGCCGCGACCGCGTTCGCGTGTCGCCTTTCTCCGAATTTCCTAGAAAAAACCCATTTGCTCGTTGATCTTTTCCAGCCGCGCTAATCGATTAATCAAAGTTTCTTGTCGCGCGCACACGCGTTCGAGCGCGTCGCGATTAATTAGATTATCATCTGCCGGAAAAAGGTATCTAGTGGCAACGACTCGTTATTATAGGATGAGACGGTCCTTTGGCGACCTTACTCCTGAAAGTCTAGTTATTTCGGCAACATCGGCGGAGTTGTCGAGCATCGAACGAAAGAGACAAGTAGAGAGGGCAACTATTTATTTCATGGGCTTCCCTCGTAGACGGCCTCCCCTTTTAATGCTCGCCTGTGTGTACACGAGTCGTACATCAGCGACCGCGGCTACATAAGGGGAAGCGGTCGGTATGCGAGGAAGGCACACGAGGCTACATAAGGGCCACATAATGTGCGTGGCCATGTGCATCCGGCGGAATGCGACGGCCTAGGTGAAATGCCTGGTCCCGTGCCAGAGACTTTAACCTCGATTCGCAATAAAACAGGCTGGAGTCTTCTTTTCTGGCACTACGGCCAGGAGGAGGTCGTGACCCGGACTAGCGCCTTTTCAGCCGTATCACAGGACGCGTTCGAATAAAGGGAGCACCGCTAAAATTACACCGTCGTGGAACTCGCCTTTTCCTCGATTTTCCTATCAAAAGTTTCGCGGTAGTTCCTGACCACCGGCGTTTACCTCCCGATGTCGTTTACCTACGGTAATAAATGTTGAACCGCGAACCTTGCTTCTCTGCGTACCGTGACTTCACGAACTTAGCGTACAAAGAACTTCAACCTCCGGAAACGATGAAAGTCGAAAGAGCAAAATTGATCTCATGTTTTTTTACTAGCGAAAGCAGCTGCTCGAAACGCGGTTGCGAATCGCGGTATTTTTGGAGCGGATCGCTAAATAAACGATTCTTTTTGGTATTTCAGCCGCGACCTGGAAGGAGGCCCCGAGGACGTCCTGGAAACGCCGCGCAGTTACCGACTACGCCCAGGATACAGAGTCCCATTTCGCAGCAGCTCGAAAAAGGTACGACTTTTGTGAATGTTTAAACGCTCGCCCCGGATATTTATAGTCGGCCTCCTCGAATTAATTTCTCGTTTAAAACCGCGCGTTTCAATCGTTTTTCCACGAATATCGATACGATCTAATACGTTGATCGAACAAATTATCGTATCGATCAGATAACCAGGCGTATTATGCGCGTCATTTCTGGTTCAGTAGAAAACAACGGTGACGCGAACGATACGTCTTTTCAAGGCGACTGGCACCTTGAAACGTAGTTCATTTTGTATATGCCACGAGGTTAACGATGACCGGTTCCGTGAATTTCATTTAGTCCGAGAAACTAATAAGGCGAGAACGTCACGTAATTGTTACGGACAAATTATCATACCGATACAAACGCGTAATGACCGTGCGAGATACGATTATCCTTGCAAATTACAATTTTCTACGAGAATCCGTTAATTCTAAAATTCCTGACAAAATTTGTTATCCTTGCAAATTAGTAAATAGAAGTTGCAGAAGCAATCTTACTCGCGTGCCTAGAGTCATCAAAGCTCGAATCTAAAAATCCAATCGATGCTTTGACCTGGTTTCCTGTAGCCTTTCGATCGTTTCGCAATTAATCGAGAAGGTAGTCGGGCAAAAGGAAAAGGTAGATTCCGTTTGCCAAACGCCGTTCTATATCAAAGTCTTCCGCATGGTTGACGAAGCGAGGTCAAGTAGGGTTTGTCGTCGTCGAATCGAGTCGAGGCGAGGCCACGATCGACCGATCTACTCGAAGGTCAGACAAAGAGGTTTTAGGACGGCAGGGGAGCTCGTTCATTGATTAAGCCGATCCGAGGGACCGTGTGGAATTAGGGCCGCCTTAAAATGCATCGCCTCTAGGGACAGAGAGTATAAAAAGAAGAGGGAAAGACGGAGAGAGAGAAAAGGGCAAAGAAAGCTCGTCAGGGTGGGATAGAAGGAGAGGCGTACCGAGGGGAATAAATGATTCGAAGAAGCGAGTAGGACCGGTCCACAAACAAAAGACTCGTTGCCAGGTCTGGCTGAATCTCGGGTCTAAGGAGAGAGGGGGAAGGTTCGAGGAGAAGAAAAGAATCCGTAGGAGCGATTTCAGACAGGAAGGAAGTGCTGACTCCGAACCGAGGGAAAGAGGGTGCTGATGTTGATGGAACGAACTCCGGGATTCTGAAGTCTTTGTGTCCGGAACGTTTCTTAATCCCGCGTGTACCAGCGTTTTCTGTTGCTCCTTTTTTGTTTTTCTTTCACTCGGTTTGTCGCGATTTCTCCCTCGCTATGAATCGATGGAAGAGATCGACGACCTTGTTAAATTTTTAAAAGGTATCCGTCATGTTGATCTAAATTGGCAAGCGCGATCGGAGTAAAACGGTTTGGAAACGGAAACAACGTCGCGCGTACGAAACGTCGAATTTAAGCGAACAAGTGACACGAGGACGAAATTTCAACGTAATTCGATTTTCTTGGCGACACGACGAAGCAGCTCCAATTACGGAATCAGGGTATATAGTCTTCTCCGATGGAAGTTTGCTGCCACAATAGTATTCGCTCGGTGAATTTAATGAAAGACAACCACGTGACCCGACACGAGCAGATCGTTCTCGGCGTGCACTCAAATAGAGCTACCATTGGAAAACTATTTCCAGCTAGCTTCTCTTCCGATAGCCTTTGAATCGGTGAAGTTAATTGGCAGAACTAATTTAATCGCTAATTGGAGATATTCTTAAATATATAAACGGCATCGAACCTTTGTCCCGGTGTATTTCCTTATCTGTCTCGATTATCCGTCCGTCAGACATTTCTGTCAGCTTCCTCGTTTCGGATAATTTTAACGATTCCTCCGTAAATTTCTGTATCAAATCATTTGTTCCCGATTTGTCGAAGTCGCTGACAAAGTACGCTATTTTCGGCTGAGGCCTTTGGGTCTATTTGTAACTTCGGATGTGGGAGAATCACCGCGAAATTTTTCCGACTCGAGCTCGTTAAACGCGGTCTGTCCGAGTTAGAAACCGTGACTTTTTCCCCCCTTTCCGCGCGGAGAAACAAGCAGCAGGAAGTCGAGAGAGAAGCGAGTGCATCGCAAAAGTCCCCTTACGTCACCGAGCAAATATAACCGGCACGATTGCTCCTCTATTTCTTCATCCTCGTTTCCTTCGCGTCCACTCCAACCTCTAGAGTACTTGGCCACCTCTCGGAAGCGTAAGCATCGATCGTCTCTTAATTTACTTTCTTTTTATTCGCGCGACTCGTGAATTCGGAGCTAAGTCGGACAAATCCGAGAGATTTCTTCGGCAGCGCATTTACGAGCGGATCGATAGCGGGCGATAGAAATCGCTTGGTCATCCAACGTCTCTATTCGGAGATATTCGGAGAATCCCTCCGGGAAGCTAAAGGAGAATCCGATGCTCGCGTGGAAAGCGAAGAAATTTATACCCTCGTTCTGGGAAATCTGTCCACTCTTTCGCGATCAAACATTCAAAGACACGATCTTTCTTTCCGCGACGAGGCAGGCAGCCACGCGCTAATAAAGTAACGAGGCCTCCTTTGAAGTGGGCCTGCGTCGCTGTAATTCCTCGCTTCGTCTCTGCTTTCTTCTCTTTTCTTCCTCTTTTTCGCCCTCCGTTTTCCCTCCGAAAATAAACGCGAACCGGATGACACGTTGCTGAAAATACAACCGGACCGTTAACGTGTCCTCTCCCTTGGCCAACGATATTTCCTAGTAATTACGATGGAAACACGGGAAACCAGCGGCGGAGAAGAATTCTTTTCTGTTCGAGGGAAAACCCCTCGTTGCGTGAATATTTCAGACAGAAAGAACCCTGTTGAGGGAGAATTAAATGGACGCTCGTTGAAAGTACTAAACGTTAATTAGGGAAACGCGTTCGTAGTTTTTTCTCGCGGCCGTTGCTAATTAAACGACGAGTTGCGTGCTTCGTAATTGCGTGAATATCGAATGACGAAACCGGCAAATTGACGTGGCCAAAATTCAGTTCCGAACTTTTAATTTTCATGAGAAATGCTGCTCAATTTTACTAGAAGTTCGGAGTTCTATAATTTACAGTCAATAGCATCGACTTAAACTTTCTTTACTTGCATTATTTTCATGAGACACATTCGTGATCAGTTTTACTGGAATTGATACGCTGTGGAGTTCTATAGTTTTCACAGTCAAAGCATCGATATGAATTTTCTTTACTTGCATTATTTTCATGAGACACATTCGTGATCAGTTTTACTGGAATTGATACACTGTGGAGTTCTATAATTTCACAGTCAATAGCATCGATATGAATTCTCTTTACTTGCACTATTTTCATGAGACACATTCGTGATCAGTTTTACTGGAATTGATACACTGTGGAGTTCTATAATTTCACAGTCAATAGCATCGATATGAATTTTCTTTACTTGCATAATTTTCATGACAATTCATTCGTGATCAATTTTACTGGAACTGATACGCTGTGGAGTTCTATAATTTGCACAGACAATAGCATCAACATGAACATTTTTAATTGCATTATTTTCATGAGACACATTCGTGATCAATTTTACTGAAATTGATACACTTCGAAGCTGTACTTGGGAGTTGTACAGTTTGCACAGTCAATAGCCTCAGCATGAACTTTCTTTAATTGTATGATTTTCGCGAGACACATTCGTGATCAATTTTATTAAAATTGATACACGTCGGAGTTCTATAATTTTCACAGTCACATGAACATTTTTACTTGCACTATTTTCATGAGACACATTCGTGATCAATTTTACTGAAATTGATACACTGTGGAGTTCTATAATTTCACAGTCAATAGCATCGATATGAATTTTCTTTACTTGCATTATTTTCATGAGACACATTCGTGATCAGTTTTACTGGAATTGATACACTGTGGAGTTCTATAATTTCACAGTCAATAGCATCGATATGAATTCTCTTTACTTGCACTATTTTCATGAGACACATTCGTGATCAATTTTACTGAAATTGATACACGTCGAAGCTGTACAGTTTGCACAGTCAATAGCATCGACATGAACTTTTTTTACATTGATACTGTAGTTCTGACACATCAAACAAATAGTGCAAAGCACATGTTTGAGGGAAAAAGTGCTATTTCCATTTATTTTGACTCGGTGTCGCGGCCGTTTCGCAGATCCATCATCGGTTACGCAAGGGTAATAAACAGAATCATTGGAACATTGTCGCAAAACACGAGTGTACACGATGATGCGAAAGAGAGAAATGGGTGCAAGTGCAGCGATCTAAATAGCAGGGAAAAACGATGGTAGAGAAAGAGCGATAGGAAAGGGAGATCGTTCGGGAAACGAGATTGATAGCGGTTGCTGGTCGTGTGCACGGGTTTGCTTGGCAGACTACCAATCCTGCTCGCGAGTCGTCGACACTCGTGTTCCCTCTTGCCTCCCAGCTGGCAACTTTTCAAAGTCGAGTAGTCGTGCTCGTTTCAGACGAGACGAAAGGCTCGGTGCGTACCTGCCGTCAGCGTTCGAACCGTGAGAACCGGGAGGCACTCGCGGGAAACGGTAAATCGAAAGATTTATTGGAAATCTCGGCGAAAGGTGGCTCACCGTGTTCGTTAAGATCCCTCGAGGTGCAGTCCCGTCGAGCATGGAAAAGTGGAGCTTTTCGATCCGTGACGATCGTTCCGATCTGATTCGCGGTCCGTTTAATGGAGTTGCTCTCGTTTCGAGACGATCGGTTCGATCTCTGTGACGCAATCGCGAAACGTTGACTGGCATCTTGGATTAAAACGTCTCGTTTGTCCGATTCGAGTGTAATGCATGCATTAGATATGCCACGCGTCTACGCATCTGCCAGCCAACTTTTCAATGAACGCGTGGGTCGAAGGGATTTACGTATATTTGTTCGAAAACTATGTACCGTTACTTTTCCAATTATTCGATAATCGGTGAACCTAGGTAGAATGCAGGACGCGTCCTACACGTGAAATATCTGAAAGTCTCGGACGATGAAAAACGAG